TTCGACAATGTATTACGATTATAAATGTGCATACATCATTCGCATGCTCCATTTAAAATTTAAATATTCGCGACCTTCCGCCGGGAGTACGATTCATACGTAAAATGAGACACGTGTGCACGCATCTGGGAGAAGATACATATCTTTTTCGAGTTTCCTTTCTTTTGTACGTTCATTCTTTTTTTTTTTTTATATACCGAGTTTGTGGAATTAAACGGTGCACTAAATTGTTAGCGTAAGGTGACAGAAAACGTCGATGCCCATACTATGGCGCCCATATTCCCCCAAGCAGGCTTCCTTTAAAGAAACTGGTTTTTCATATATAGTTTTCTGTGCCTAGAACAGTGTTTCTCAAATCTCGCCTTCCTGTGGACCTTCTCATAATAAATGAACCCCCGTTATACTTTCAGCATACTTTAAAACTGCTTTTAAACGAGGTACATTTACATTAATTCAAGTTAAACGTTTTCGTATCTTTTAGTACGATCTGTTCACACGATCTGTTTGCTATTATAATGAGCGATAATAATTAGTGTAGCCAAGCTGTTTTAATACGGAATAATTACAGAAAATAATAAGACCGTTTCGAAAATATTCTCTGTGATAGTATTCAAAATATTTCAACAGTAGTGTATATATTTTTCACGATGTTCTGGTTATTGTGATTTTTTTTACGAATTATTCTCAAAGTAATTAACTTGATTATTAAATGAAGATTGAATTGAATATATTTTGATTGTCACTGCTCTGAATAATTTCGTGAATTTCAGCTTGCCAGCAGTACGACAACGAAATTACAGTGAACGAGGTGAAACCGGATGACCTGACTTTTCATATATTCGGCGGAGTCCAGGCACAGTCGGGCGAGTTTCCTTACATGGTTGCATTAGGATACGAAAACGACAACACAGACGAGGATGCACCACCCATCAGATATGGTTGCGGAGGTAGCCTGATATCAACCCAACACGTGTTGACCGCGGCCCACTGTGTGAATAACATAAATGAAAGAGTTCCCATCGAGGTAAGCACAATCGAATACCTTAACTAAAGGAATTTCCAAAAGGGGCTTTGAGATATTACTTTTTAGCAACAAAATACATGGTAAACACTTCGACGACAACATCTTTCACGTTTAATTGCGATCGTATGGATTGAAATCCCATGCTATTTATTCTTCATTAAAAAAACAAAGTTCGAGAACATATGACACAGAGTCATATGTGCAAAAAAATTCATACAACTACTCGAAACATATACGTAGAGTGATATGAAGAATTTATTCGGAAACGTCAAAACTACCATTTAATTTAGACTTTCATCATTAAACAAATAGGGTACAAATACTCATGGGACTCTTTGTACATGTAAATACAGTGGGTGTAGAATGAATTCGTACACCGATCAATTTCTCAAAAAGTTTTGTGTGAAATTGTACTTTCTTAACTTCTTTTTTTGTAATCAATGATATGTTACATATTCTCGGAAGTCTCTAAGATAGATATAGTTCAAACAACATTTACTAGTTAATATAATTTGTGAAATTAACAAAAAGATGCGAAAAGTGGGTGAAGGTATAGAAGCAATAAGTTTTTGGACGATTCTTATGACGAACCATTTACAGCAGAGTTTGTAACGTGAACGCATTAGTTTATTGAAAACATAAAATTTCCAGCAAAGTACTTTTAAACAGTTGTGCGAATACTTATTGCTTCAACATTTCTATTGATTAATTGTCTTTTTCTTGTTAATTTCGCAACTTACATAAATAGCTATTCCGGGAATATGTAGAATGTCATTGTTTATAAAAAATAAGTTAATAAATTACAATTTTACGCAGTTTTTTTGGAAATTGATCGGTGTACGAATACTTTCAACACCCACTGTATGCTTGGAAAGTGCGCTCGTTTCCTCCGAAACAATTATCCTCGAACAAGCAACTACCGATAAAGAAATTGAACTGCCATACTCGATTTACAGGTACGATTGGGCAACGAAAACATAAACAGCACCGCGACGAGTGTGCAACGTATACCGATCAGCGATATAATTTCTCATCCGCTGTACAAACGTAGCACGAACTATAACGATGTGGCCATCCTTAAATTAAAAACGAACGTCCAGCTATCGACCACGGTTAAACCTATCTGCCTTCAAACTAGGTCCCTGCACACGATGAATATTACATCAAGAACGCCTTTAGTCGTTATCGGATGGGGCGACACGAGCTTCGACTCCGAAGGCTCCAGCACGCTGATGAGGACGCCTAGTCTCAGGTAACGCGTGTTTAATCATTTATTGGAGAGCTTAATCGAAAGCCTGTCGATAACTATAGGCCTCTAACAGTTAAAAGTGACGCGGTATATTGACGACAAAATTGTGGATACCATTTGGATTTGTAATTAATAACTGCGGTAGAAAATCGAGTAGGGAGTGTTTTATAGGCTTTGTTTGTTTGTTACCATCTATTCGGTACATAGTTCATATACAGGGTGTCCGAAAAATGTTGGAGGTCTTTGAAAGGGGTGGTTTGGGAGGTGATTTGAAACAACTTTTTCCTTTGCAAAAATGTCGGATGGGGCTTCGTTAAGTAGATATTAATAAAAAAAACCCGACCAATCAGAGCGCGCGGATACCGTTGGAGCGGCCGCGGTAGCAAAGGCTACGCGCTGAGCGGCCGCGTCAATATCATTCGATGCACGTCGAGTCACGTGTTCGCGTACGAGAGCGGCTACCTAGCGCGTAGCCATCGCTATCGCGGCCGCTCCAACAGTATACGCGCGCTCTGATTGGTCAGTGTTTTCCGTTAATATCTCCTCAACGAAGCCTCGGACAACAATTTTGCTAAGGAAAAAGTTGTTTCAAATCACCCCCTGAACCACCCTTTTCAAGGACCTCCAACATTTTTGGGACACCCTGTATTGAGCGCAGTATATTGGCGACAAAATTTTGGATCCCATTTCGATTTGTAATTACTAGACTGTGGTAGAAAATCGAGTAGGGAGTTTTTTATAGGCTTTGTTTGTTTGTTACCATCTATTCGGTAGGTAGTTCAGTTAGTAGTTCAGTGTTTCTTTTCTATTTGTCACAAAGCAACGACTTGAAAGAATTTGAGAGCATAGGAAGAAAAGGACAGTGGCAATTCTCACGAATCATCCTACACTTTTATAAATATTCTAACAATCACTGTTTGCTTCACGTTCGTAACAATTACAGTCTGGTGGACAGAAAAGAGTGCGCCAAATTCTACACTGGGTTTAACAAGCTGCCCCAGGGTATCGACGACACCATGATCTGCGCGATAGACAAAAATAGTAGCAGGAGAGCGGACGCTTGCCAAGGTGACAGCGGAGGTCCTTTATTAATGCTGACAGAGACGGGCGACAGTGTAATTGGAATCACGGCATTTGGGCAAAGTTGCGGCAGTTCTACCCCCGGTGTTTACATGGCGGTGCACTCTTTCCTGGATTGGATCGAGGAGCACGTGTGGCCGAGCAACGACAGGGAGAGAGAGAAGGAGCCAGAAACGATTAGCGTGCATTTCACTATAGAAGTAAGAGATCCTGAAGAGTAAATATGACGCGATATACCCAAGGCAGGCTTTCACGTGGAAGTAAATATATAAACAATTGCGTCAAATGGGCGTGTTCTTCTCTGATAAGACAGGGAAAAAATTCTAGAAGATAATAAACTAAAGTTATGTGTGCGCTTTCCATACAAACTGATAAAGTAGAGACTGATATAATTAATAACATGGTTTCTAGTTTAAAAAACAAGGATAGTGAATGTTCGAAGAGACTTCGTTTACGTTTAACAGGAATTTGTGCAATAATAATGTTATCTAATAAACTGTTATCGTGTCTCGTTCGATGCACGTTAATTTAAACTGAAATACTCCGAATGGTAATTCAACAGTTCCAAGCATTATTTATTTTTACGTTTGGACTCCTTGGTTTAGAGTCATCCTCGAAATGTACGAATGTTACTGAATTTACTAAATTAACATGTAACACGACTTTATTAAAATAGAATGTACTTGTATAGAAATTTTAAATATTTGGGAATTATAACAACATATCGAAAGGTATCGAAACATACATATTTTAAATATAAATACTAAGCTGTATTTGTTCATATAACTTCTTCTTCGACAAATACTAAACATTAAAAATCTTTCTTTCTCAACGACAGCTGTTTCCTTATTTTATACTTTTATATATTAATTTAGTAAATTCTTTTTATACGTTTATTTACCTAATGATAAGTTGCATCGTGGCGCCAACAAGGCCATGGATATTATCTCGAGGATAAAATCGAATTAAATTGAAACATCACGACTCGTATAGAAATCATTTTACACCTTGGACATTTTACACCTTGAATTCCAGTGACGAATTACGAGGCTCGTCGAAGAAGCAAGGAACGACGGGTGTAAACATTAACAAAACCCTCTTTTATTTATTCACATTCTGTACAAATGTATTTTACATAAAGTCGATAATGTCTACCGTGCCGACTAATGTTTTATTGGACGGCGATCTATGTGATGTAAGCACCGATTTCGAATACTTTTAAAGCGAAGTACGATTAAACGGGGCGGGCAATCTTAACGTAAAATTAAGTAGAATAAATACACCACGGAAAAAGCCATTCGATTTTTGTGTCGTTTCTCGGATCTCGAACAGTGTTTTCAGTGTAACGACGAAGTAAAGAGTTCTCCAAATAATATTGTAAACGTTATAAGTACGTATTACATGGACCTTGTACCTCTTAAATCGATACTTTTAATATACCCCAAAAAAAAAAAACGTAAACGAACGCACCAACACCAACATTTATAGCGAAATTTTCAATAATCTAAGTCGCAGTTCAAGTAACGTAGGCTTCCACTTTTTCTTCATTGGATCAATGAAAATGTTACGCATAATCATAGATCGTTTGTACAGAGACATACATGCGTGTAAATTGACGTTTCCCACGTGGAGGCAAGTTATTAAATCTACACATCGAAGTTCTTATTTATTCAACAGAGGATGTACAACGATTATAATACAGTATGTTTGTACGTAATGCAATGTAATACTGTTAAGATCAGGTGCAATTGCAGGCATGCACGAGTACAACCTAACGAACGAATTCCAAAAGATTTCATTAACGATAGCTATTATCCACAGATGCGTTCGTCCATCTGCAACGTGTCGAATGAAATTGATCGGGAGTCGTTCAACAGCTCGCCAACAGCATCGTATAATCTATATTCCGAAATTGTGTGCGTGTGAAATGTTAAAGGAGAAGTATTTTCATCGAAACAGCAGTGGATCAAGAGAAATATCGATGCACCTTCTTTTCTTGAAAATGTTGTTTTACAGTCTGAAGCGACATGCTAATAACAAGTACTTGATGTCTTTTTGTACGAAGACAATAAATTCTTTCAGAACGTTTAATATCGTATGTTGAGGGAGTCACGAGGAAAACAAAGACATATTTTTGTCGTGATGTATTCATTCAAAACTGACTGATTTTATATACAATATACATGTGTGATAAACTGATTCATTCTTGATAAAGATGTAAGAATTAATATAAGAATTAATATAATGTGAAATTTTCAAGTCTAACGAAGAAAGCTTTGATGTCTTAATGAGGATGTGCATCTTGCCAGTGTATCGTTAAATGTTAACCCTCTTTAATCAAAAATACTATAACAAATTATTTTTGTTAGTACCCTACGCACATCCTGTATAAACATCGACTGAAAGCGGATCGGTAGTAAGATTCTCTTTCACCGAAGCCCCTAATGATATTTTCCTCTTGAAAATATGACTACAGGCTCCATGATACCTGTATCCTACTCTTATCGTAGCAAATAATTAAGAATGGAGAATACACGTCACGTAAAATCATTTTTTGTATTCTCTCTAAAAATCCACACAACTCGTATAGCAATACTACTTACGATACCTCCGAGTACATCATCGAGTTTTCTGAAAGAATACGTAACCCCTGTACATCAAAAGACACCAAAGGGCACCCTCGCAATTAACAAAACACCTCAATATGCAAATACACTTAAAGAAAAAAGGGTATACTTTCCTGATCCGCAGCACAGTACATTCCCAACCACCCATACGAACAATCTCCCAGCCTCGAATTTTGCTTATACCAGATACCCTTCCCTAAATCATCGAAAAGGTGTATAGATCACGTGCACCAAAAAATTTGAAAACCCTGAAGGAACGACGATCGAATTACACGAAAGGTCGCGTTGATGGATGGTCTCCGTTCAGAAAGACACGTTTAGGAAGGGATTTAGTTCCAAAGCCCGTCGACGCGAACCCGTTCCTGTTCCAGCGACCCCCGTTTCTCACCCCCATTTCGTGGCTATCGTGTACAACGATCTGAGGAGTTCCAGCGCTCTGCCATCCGACGTGGAGGTCTCGTCCTCGTGCAACGAGTTGATCGTGTTTGACGTGCCCTTTTCGGATCTCCTCACGATGCTAGGCGAACTCTCGGTGGTGGTTCGAAATCTTCGACTTTTTCTGCTGCGATACGTAGTAACAGGTGGTTCCGTGAACGTGGAGACGGTCGAAGGGCTCCTGGCGCGAGTGGTGGACCCAGCGGAGGAAACGCTCAACTGGTTGATCCCAGCCACGACGTTCCTGGACTCCTCCGAGGCGAACTCGTTCACTGGCAATCTCAACAACGCGTTCAACAATTCGTCCTTCTCGCGTTGCATGGTCTTGTTCACAGGGTCCTTGCAGTGTCTTACCAGAAGGAGAACCAGTTGCCTCACTGTCTCGTTGTTGTCCGCCTGCTTCATCACCCTCATCAAGGTGCTGCTACTGGAGGCGTTCAGTTTCCCGAACAGCTTCTCGGCGACCTCCTTCTCTGTTCCATTCAGGGTACTGCTGCTGGTCGTCGTTACCGAATACGGTATCAACGAGGAGACCAGGGCTTCTTGAGGCAGAGAATTGGTCGACGTGATGGAGGACGTGATGGTAGTCGTGATGCTCGAACGCGTGGTGATCAAGGGCTTCGGAGTTGCGGTATTCGCAGCTGTGAACGAGGTTGGGAGCAGAGAGAACGTAGTTGGGGAGTCCTTTTCCCTGGATATTCTCTGAGACGAGAAGGGTACGTCCGATTCGCCGCTGTAGGACTCTTCCGTGCTACTAGACGTGGTTTCATCCAAAGACGGGGTGTTTCCGTACTCCGTGCTCTCGTGGCTCCCTGTGAAGCTGTCCGACGCCACCGTCGTGCTGACGTCAGACTCCAGACCGTGATTGATGTGCTGAGGATCTACGAAGACAGACGTTTCCCAGAGATGGGTTACAGCTGGCGACGAGGTCCAATGATTATTATTCAGTAGCTTCGGATCCTCCTGATTAACAGATTCGAACGAGTCAGTAGAGTCTGTATGCGAACAGGGTGTAGTTTCCACCTCGACGGTGGTGCTTGGTTCCGTTGACCTTGGAGCAATCGTCGTCGGCCTCTCGGTAGACCTCAAATTGTGTTCGTCCACGCGGTTGTACGTGTTCCTGAACTTCATGTAACTAGATCGCGACGTAGCAAGGGTACGACTGCCGGATCTCTGCTCCGATATCAAGGATTTGTGATGCTGGGACCTGCGAGATTGGTCTGCAGGAGTTTCATAGATCCTAGGAGAGGTCGTCGTCGAGCGTAGACCTTGAGAGGACATCGGGGTGCTAGGATACTGCTCGGAATTGAAATCAACCCTCGCGTTCTCCTTCCTGAACGTCTCTGCGTGGGTCTCATACAGCGGAGGGGTGAGTTGTTGCTCAGGTTTCTTGCTGGTAGCTTTCTTGTTCCAATTGAACGGTCCCACGTGCACCAGCATAGGCGCTGGAGATGGCGTCGGCGAAACCACGTAGTTTTCGCTTACGGGCGTGGTGGCGAACGACCTGTCCTCCCTGTAGGGCTCGGTGACAGCGGTGACACTGTTGTTTTGGAAACCTCCGACTCGGCTTTGATTCCCTGTCTCGTCTGTTGGAACGTAGTTGTCAGTCTGCGACGCTACGTTACCTCTGTCTATCTCATTGTTCTGATTATAAAAGCCACTGGTGTCGGTAGCGAAGGGCGTGCTAGGCTGTTCGGCAGAGAACGTGCTCTCGGTAGTTGGTACAGAAGTCTCGTAGTAGGAATTGGTCACAGAGTTAGTCGACACGAAGTTCGTGCTGGGTTCGTAGGTTTCTTGGGTGTAGGGTCTTGGGGTAGTGTAATAAGTAGAAGGAAGGGTGCTGAAGGTATCGTAAACGGTTTCTTGAACAGTGGTAGGTGGTTCAGTGGTTGGATAGACAGTCGTTAGCTTCTGTCTGAGGTCGTTCCCATCGTCAGAGAAATCCAGGACCTCGTCTTTCTCTCTGATGGACGAGGTGAAATCCTCTTTCTCTCTGGGGTAGGCCGTGGTAGCTTCCGAATCCAGGGTCGTTGGGGATGGCTCGGTTGGTCTGATCTCCGTGAGCACTTTCTTGAAGGTGTCTGGATCCAGAAGATAAGCCGATAAAGCGTGGGTAAAGACCTGAGCGAGTTCTCGAAGCTTGGTGCTGTTGGATCTTCTAAGATCGTCCAAGGATCCTCCGCTTTGCTGCAGCTCGAGGTCCTCGTTGTAGTCTTCGCCATAAACACTGGCGTTATCCAGACGATCCTCCGTCGTCACGTTGTTCTCAACGGCGTCGTTCAGCTTGAACAACTCCGCGTAGGAGTCGATGGTATGCCGCGTCAAGATACTGGTGGGCACCTGGACGGTTCCGTTGCTCTTCTTCGAGATGACCGACTTCTCCACTTCCTCCTCCGACTCGAGGCTGATCGAGGAATCCGTGGTCTCGTTCGAGTCGAAATTCTCCGTGGCGGTAGAGAAATACAGAGCTAGGGAATGAAGCGTCGACGGAGCTGGTGGGCCTGAAGGAACGGACGGTTTCTCGTCGGTTTTACGCTTCTCGGACAAACTTGGTACGTTGTTCTCCAAGTTCTTCAAGGAGTGCAGCATGCTCAACGCGTGCTCCCTTTCGGAGAACCTCGCAGAGTTGGTCTTCGACTTACTCAACGAGTTTGGGGAGGAATGTTTCAGTTTTGGTATCAAAGTCTTCGCAGACGTGTAAGTAGGCACCGTGGGGGTGTAGGGGGTGGCCTTTGAGGTGGTTCCAGTGGTTCCAGTAGAAGAAGTAGCGTAGTTCTTGGTAAAAGGTACGTAGGGTCCCAAAGTGGACATGACTTTTCCCTGTTTATACGTGAAGCTCCTGTCGTAGGGACTCAGATCCTTCTCCGTCACCGCGTTCTGTTGGTACGCCAGGGTGGTCCTGAACGGTTTGTCCGTGGTCGAACTGATGTAGTTTGGTCGATACACGGGCGAATCCGTGGCAGGACTTCTGCTCGTTGGCTTGCTGTATTGATTTTCGAAAGCGCTGTGTGTCACCACAGGCCCGTCGGTGGTGCGTCCGAAATTGTTGCTGCGGACGGACGAGGTGGGCAATGGGAACTGACTGGTGTACTTTTGTTGACCGGAGTTGGGTGTCACGCTGTTGTACCGATAGCTCTCCGTGGTCGCGTACTGTCGAGTCGTGCTAGGTAGATCCGATCCTGTCCCGCTGACAGCTGTCCTGTCGTTTCTGTTGTTGACGTTGTTGTTATTAACGTTCCCTCTGTACTCGTAATTGCTGTTGGCGAACTGCAGCGACTCTGTCGTTTGCGGAACGTCAGGACTCGTGGCGACACTTTCCGTGGTGGCCTCGTCGTTGCAGGGAGGAGTTACAGTTGTTGCATATTGAGTGGTCGTTTCGTAGGGAGCAGAAGTAGTGACTGTGTACGAGTAGTCGTTCGTTTGAGCGGAAACGTCGTTGTTTCTTCGTTCGATCGACGCGGTGGTTGACTCGTAATCGGAGCTCCTAGTGGTGGAGTCTCTGTTCACGTACAATTGATAGTAATACTGATGAGAATTGCCACTGTTTTCGTTCAGCCAATTTCCACGATTGCCGACGAACGCCGCGCTCTCTGCTAGCTGTTGAGTCTCTTTTATGGGACTGGTGTTGCCAGCCCTGAAAGTTGTGGACTCCGTGTAAGACGGAGTGACTTTTTGAGAGACCGTCGAGGAGGTCGTGTTCCTGGCGAAACTCTTCAGCTTTAGCCTTTTCATCGCCCCTTTCTCGTCTCGTTGACTGTTCGAGTTTCTGCTGGCGATGTGGTAGTTCTGAGCCTTCTTAGGGGTGTTGTAGTAGTCTTGACTGGTCGTTGAGAACCTGTTGACGGTTCCCTCGTCGGTGTTCCTGGTGAACTGACTGAACTGCGACTTGGTGCTGGAAGTCTGACTCGACTGGAACCCATTGCTACCGAACAATGGATTGCCATCTCGTTGGCCACTCGATTCTTGGCTGAAGTTGTTCCCAGAGTCGAAATACCGGGATGTCTTTATCCTATCCTGCACTTGGTTTTCTAGCGGAGGTTCCTCGTACGTTTTTATTCGTCCATTCTGTTTTCCATCGTAGCTGAGGTTCTGAACGTCGTAATAGTCCTGCTGTCCACCAGACTCGATCGACTGCTGGTAGTCGTACTTGGATCTTCGGGATTCTGCACGTTTTCGTTCCTCCTCGATCAGCTGCTCGCTGCTCTGCTCGTAGAGCTCCTCGGACTTGCTGCAGTCCACTTTGAACCACCAATCGCAGATCAGTTGCGATTGCTGGAAGATGGTGCCATTGGGGCAGAGGAACGATATCTTTCGACCGTTGTCGCAGATGTGGAACACCTGGAAGGAAAGTTAATTACGTGATTTTAATAATTCGTCACATGAATTTTATTTTAACTTTCGAGGGAAAAACTGTTTCATGGTTATTTATATTTGGTATAGAAATTAATTCTACGACACTCCAAGTACATATTAATCATTCCTCAGTCAAACATTCGAGCATAATACATGACGTGGTAAAACTGAAATGTGAAAACAATCTATGTGTTTCATTCGTAATAAATAATTAAATGTAAAGACACAGAGTCAATTTCTATACCTAACAATTGCCAACTATACCTGTAGTCTGTTAGATGGACAACAATAAAAAAAAAGCGTTGGCTATCGAATTTCTCATTTATATAAATACAGATTCATTTTAACGAAGATCAGATTGACAACTCGGAAGATTAACAATTTAACTTACCAAAATGACGAGTAAATACTTTTACTTACGTTATACTTATAAAATGATTGAATATAAAATCAGAGAATTAATTTCTGTAGTTAATAATTTCATGAATTAACTCCACATGAAAACACTATGGTAAACCCTTAAAAATTTCCTCAATTATTCTAACAAAGAGTGTTTTCACGTCTCGAACGTCTCACCGTGTTCTTCGACTTGCTCTTGATTGTGCCCGGCGCCAGAAATCGCGACCGCGCAACATCAAATCTCGCGTTTGATTAAGGCAATTACGTTGGGCAAGATATATCAAGCCGTTCATTACTTACTTGACAATTTGTCTCCAAGTCCGCGTAGTAACCACCTTTCAGACCTCGGCAACTAAACGAAGTGGCTGGGATCGTCGTGAGAGCTGGAAAGTCCACTCCGGGTTGTCCTGTCACGCCTACCGAAAAAACAATCGTAATTTCTCAGGAGAGTTCATCGTCCCGTTTCAAAATTCGACAATTTTCCTTCTTCTTGGCTAAGTCATTCGCTTTGTTCTCTACGCAGGATCGAGGAGCAAGAGTTTGGAGAATAAACATCCGCGGACGTTACGATTCTCATGCAAAATGCGGACGAACGCGTATCACATTTTCGACTTCTCGAGAAGCATTCTGGATATTTGCCATAGCGTCTTATTTTGACCATGTACGAAACCGGTTTTGCGTATGCACACAGTTCTTTTAATAGAAGATGGATTGACTTGTTTCTTTTTAACTTTTTTTATTCTTTCTGTCTACGACGCAACTGTACCGGGAGTATTTAATAATAACAATAACAGACACATCATGCAGAAAATAATTTCACATGGCTTGTACGTAGCAGAAACGAGGAGATATTTTGTTGAAACTGTGGTGGATACGAAGTCGTTGTAAGGGGTCTTCTCGCTTTAAAGATTTAAAAAAAAAAATCCAACTCCGTCGCATCTGATGACAGTCTAGGACATGTTTCTAGGTTTACATTTAAAAATTTGTGGTATTTTTCAGTAGATTATGTATCGTATATCAAGAATTGTACATGGATTATGATTCGCTGTTAATTAGTAACTCCAGAAGATTTTTCGAGACATGAAAGTGCACGCAGTGAAAGCATGTTTTTCTCATCGCGTTACGCACCAAAGAATACACTGTGTATCGACTTTTAAGTTATCAAAATTCCAAGATCTTGTTAAGTAACCAGTGAAACTATGCGTATTATTTAAAAATGATCCGACGTGTACTTTCTCAATAGGAAGAAAAAGAATGCTCATACTCTGATACTATTTTTAGAAGTGAGGAGACCCCTTGGTACTATTCTTCTTTTCTTTCCTTCTTTTTTTTTAAAGGAAGATAAGACTTTCGAATAATGAATAAAAGAAGAGTTGATACCATTTCCTTTATTTCGTACTGTTCAAATGTTTTCATTAGTCTCTTATTTATTCACATAAAATTTTGTCCTTTTCTCATTGGAATCAATTTCCTCGCGACTGGAGTGATCGATTGTCGCGTCGATAAGTTTCAAAAGAATATCGCTTGGATGCATGCGTTTTATTCTATGAGATAGGAAGCTGGAAGAGAAAGTGAGTGGTGCAGTACAGTATTAATAATAATACCCGCTCCTTTGAGCCATTCCTTGAGAAGATCCGCATTGCCGAAGAAGACTGGGAAAGAAAGTACTTTAGAGACGGGACAGAGAGGGTTAATGGTTAGTTTCGACATCAGTAATTTAAGCATTGGAACCTTGATAAACTTGGTACTCGCCATTCTTCTCCGGTGCCAGTCTTTTGACAATTGTTTTCAAGGATTCGGTGTTCTCCGCTGATCCTTCCACGCTAGATAGATCCAGCTCTGATAGGAACTTCGGCAGGCTCGTCTTTTTATTATCATTCTCTGACTAGAACGTGGAAATTGGTCCGTGAGAAAATTCACGATTCGCGAAAAATGCCACGTAAGACGATATTATTACTTTTAATTTAATTTAATTCATTGGTGAGATACGAGTATTTCATTGATTTAATTGATCCTTTCAATTATTCCAACTAATCTCTTAGTTTTATCTTTTAAAGTGGAACATTTTAGATAACGAACAAAACTTTTAATGCGTCGGTTGATAAATAAAAATTAGAGGCTCGATTATGCAATCTATACGTGCTTCGTATGAATGATAACTATATTTCTGCATGTATTTTATCTTTCGTTTGTCGAAGCTCCCACTGATTAGGACGATAGGAGATAATTTTTATCTAGTATTACATTAAATATGTATCTATTACTGTTTATATAACATGGTAGTCACCTCTGTTTTGCAGTAGCTTGGCATGAAACTAACCACTGAACCTGAAAAACCGAATGATACGTGAGCAGCGTATTTCAATAAACGATTACCATCTCTTCATAGAATAGAAAAGATTCTATGGCCAACGTTCGATGATATCGAATGAAGCAGTAACATTTTCATTTCGTTGAAAATAAACATACCCCAAATAATAATGCGATACTTACATAAAAATATAATTATTTCGAGGTAGGCCATTCTCGACAAATCCTTACGCATGGTTCTATAACAAACAAAGTGTAGAAAAAGTTAATTCTCAGATTTGAAACTGGTAGTAAGAATAAAATGAAATATTTTTAAGAATCTTAATTTGAACAATGTTATAATTATTAATTTGTTACATGGTTTGAATTCTTTGACGACTTACTTATAATTCTTAACGTAACGTAGATTTTCTTCTCGCATTTATGGAACACGAATAAAAAAAAATTATGTGAAACGGTATTTTACAATCTATATATTTCTAGACGATAGATGAATATATGTAAATAATGAATATGTAGATTCCTAAGAAAAAAAAAGAATTGCCGAAACCCGGGATCGAACCAGGGACATTTAGATCTTCAGTCTAACGCTCTCCCAACTGAGCTATTTCGGCTTCTGGAAAATCACCACTCCATTGCTACTGATAAACCCAATATTTCTACGTGAATTTATAATAAATTTCAATAAATGTATATAAATAAATCTTATCTAATAATATTCTCGATTAATTTACAATCACACTTTATAATACAAAAATTTTAATTATTAAATTATAAATAAAAATTGTAGCTTATGCTACAATTCGCTACATTTAATAAAATTAATATAAGTTTGATTAAATTATTAAATAGATAATGAGAATTTATTGTTACAAAGTAAATTTCAATCCAAACCAGCATTATTTCTAGTTTCCTTTAATTCTCAATGACAATGAATTTATCATAAACCAGAGTTAAACAGCTATTTAATCAGATTGAATGGGTTTCTGCGAACCTGGGATCGTTTTCTCCAAATTACCCGCATTTCATGATCGTTCTCGCGATACCTACCTGACCACCGTGAGTTGCAGCATACTCGCCAATTTGAGAAAGCCATCTCTATAGATTGACTCATGATTAGCGATGAAATTACTCCAATTAAATTTCAACACTCTTACCTGATCGAAAACTATTTTAACTAGATAATAATATACTTTCAGGATCGTTATAAACCTCGTATGCTCCACAATATTGGACTGCACATGTTGATACAGTGGGTGTAGAATGTATTCGTACACCGATCAAATTCCCAAAAAACTTTTGGGTGAAATTACAGTTTTTTAACTTCTTTTTTTATAATCAATGATATTTTACATATTCTCGGAAATCTCTAAGATAGATATAGTCCAAACAACATTTACTAGTTAATATAATTTGTGAAATTAACAAAAGAATGCGAAAACTGGGTAAAAGTATAGAAGCAATAAGTATTTGTACGATTCTTATGACGAACCATATACAGTAGAGTTTGTAACATAAACACATTAGTTTATCGCTCCGTACGAGTTAGAAAACATCAAATTTTCAGTAAAGTACTTTTAAAAATGAAGAAGAATTAAAAAGATTTAAAAATTGAAGAAGATCCCACTTCGAATAACTAATAATTTAGTTAATTTAACGCTTAGAAGAGTTGCAATAATTATAAAATCAAAAGGAAATCCTACGAAGGAAGTATTATGTACTTATAAATTAATGTAAATTTCTTTTTTTTTAATCAAGTTTTAAAAATTAAACAGTTGTGCGAATACTTATTGCTTCAACATTTCTATCGATTAATAGTTTTTTTCTTGTTAATTTCGCAACTTACATAAATAGCTATTTTTTTTTTGTTGTACTATATCTATTCTAGAGATTTCCGAGAATATGTAGAATGTCATTGTTTATAAAAAATAAGTTAATAAATTACAATTTTACACAGTTTTTTTTGGAAATTGATCGGTGTACGAATACTTTCTATATCCACTGTATATAAATTAAAAACGCTTGACATTACGATTTCAAATTATTGGGTTTTTGAAGGAATGAGTTAAATATGTTACCAATCTAAATGAAGTAATTATTTTCTTCTAGCATCCGTACTTCTTCAAATCAATATCAAATTACATTTTTTAAATACATCCAAGCATAAAAAGTATTAATGAACGAGGTGACGAAGCTTATTAAAACAAGTGGATATCATTTCGTCGTAGTTACTTTCGAATAAAATCGTTTCCTATTTCTACCAGAAATCTCTCATCGCATGAATCTTTCGCAGGAAATACCGATAACCCCAACGACGCCGAAGAGAAAGTTTCATTCAGTAACTTTATTACAAATTATCATAATTTACGAGGTGAACATTTAGCAAATTTCATAGACGCTTATATTTGTTTCATAATCACTCGGTATAATGGATTGGTACAATCCTAGCGTTAATAAGATTTGTTTTAACAGAAATATCTTCAATGCGATATTAAAAATAATAAAAATTCGATACCTCACAATTGTCGGTTTAATCGCTAACCATAGTTATGGATTCCATTTCGCCCGACACTGTCGTCAACTGCCTCATTACTTCGTTACCAACTCATTGAGTTAATTAAATTAATGATTGCCATCTCAGGCAAATCTTCCTTTCAACTTCTTTCATTATTGACATGAAAATGTACAATATTTCTGTTTTAAAATACTATTAAATATATTAGGCCAAAGAAAAAGTTGGTGGGCACGTACTAGGTTTAACAAAGTTTATTCAAAATTTAAGAAAATCGTCTTCGATCCAATATAAAAAAATATGTAAAAACGCTACCAAAATATATCCATTATCTCCACACGCGCGCGCGCGCGCACACACACACACACACACCATCGCTAAATTTTCTGAACTTGACGATGTCTGGAAAGAAATAACTACTCGCATCAAATTCAATTTGGTAGAATTTGTGTATATTTAACTAGCGAGTAATCACAGGTACACAAAGTCTCATCCAAAAGTGAGCGCATCAGATTCAAAGGTTCCGTTGGAAGTGTTATGAAGGCTGCCCCCTCCCCCCCCCAGGAATCAGGTTCAATCGCGATAATGCAGCCGCGAGATCCACGCGGGTAAGTGTACCCTATGATTATCCGTGAAATCGATTAACCTAATCAAATCGCTGACCGTGGTAATGGGGTTTCTATTACGCGGCGTTCCAGGGAACAGAAACGTCGTGTCACGTATAGGCCAGTGTCCGTGGCTCAGTGACATTCAATCGGACATCACGGTTGGGATCGTTGGTCGGAAGAACAAATAGCGTCATGTTCTCTTTGGATGGTGAATGACGCAACAACGAAGATACGGTAGGGAACATCTTGTTCATTCTCACGGTTCAACGATTTACCGGACTTTCAAGATGATTACGGTAGTCATTAAATTGCCAGTTGGCATTTGATGCGACGCGCAATTTATGGTTAATCCTTTGGGCGAACCGCGATGAGTATTATAATGACGTACTTTCACTCACGGCTAAGACTCGACATGACTCGATATGATCCCGACGATCGTTGTCGTCCGTGTCGAATGTTTACTTTCAAGGATTGTCTATCTCGTCGCGATTGATTCCGCTGTTGGCGACCTTTCAACTTTGTAATCGTGCTCAATCGACGGAACAGCAAAGAAATTTCACCGAGATAAGTGTCCGTCTAGTTGAGATAGGCGGTATACGATGGGGAGAAACAATAGGGGGCTTATAGTAGAGGCTCGAGACTCTCCTTGTCGAAAGGTGCCCTTACTAAAAGAAAAAGAAAATCTCTGCCTTCTAGATAAGTGACACGCTAAAACTGATACGAGGTAACTGTACTCCTGTACTTGTTGAACTGCGATGGTAAGCAGGATCAACACGTCCGGAGGATATTTCGGAAAATAACAAGACTCGTTCTCATTATTGTTAGAGACTCGCTTCGTGCCTGGATTCATGGTCTAATTAACTCTTAGGAGCCTGATGATCCAAAATTAAATTTAAAAATACAGTGGATGTAGAATGTATTCGTACATCGATTAATTTCCAAAAAAACTATGTCAAATTGTAATTTATTAACTTATTTTTTATAAACAACGACATTCTACATATTCTCGGAAATCGCTAGAATAGATAGAGTACAAAAAAAAAAATAGCTATTTATGTAAATTGCGAAATTAACAAGAAAAAAACTATTAATCGATAGAAATGTCGAAGCAATAAGTATTCGCACAACTGTTTAATTTTTAAAACTTCATGTCCCTTGGTAATATATACTTTATTTAAAAAAGAATATTGTTTCGACATGGAATAAGAATATGAGTATTCCACACGTGTGAAATAGCAGGGCGCAGGTAGTAAGTAATATATATACAATATTTTATGTTTTATCCGACATTATCGCGTCGAATACGATCTATTTTACTCCATTACTGTTACAACATCTACTTCTAAGAGATACGATTGCCATTTTATATAAACACTGAGTTTTACAGCTGACCGCAAGTCGCGAAAGAAACTTTCGGGCCAGCCCGATACCAACGTAGGCTATTAAAAAAAAAAAAAAAAAGAAAAAAAATATTTTAGAGCCTTTCTTGGAAACTCCAGAATATTTTCGTGGATGAGTGCGATCGGGGCCCATCTGGAATTTCCAGTAATCGGTCCCAAAGCCCTCGCCGATGGAGAAGGGAAGCTTGCCGCACCGGGACCTGGCGGATAGCGATGACGAAACAATAGCCGGCAGATAGCGAAACAAAACTTGGCGTCTTAACGAGCGCGTACTCGCATACGTATACCGCCTTCCTCTTTTGTAATGCTAATTCAAAGGAGGCAATTATTTCAGGAGTAACCGGTAACCTTCTGGTTTCTCGAACGACACCGACCGTCCGACTGTTGTCGTCCTTAGTAACCGAAGGATACGCGTGAAAGTCGGTCGCAAAATTCTCGGGCGACGATCCCGCGGATACCCGAGAAAATTTAACGAACACGAAACGGAAAGAAACGCCTCCCGAAGCGACGGTGGTTACAACAGCTCGTCCAATTACTCTCAGATGTTGTTTGCCAGGCGCATCTCGTTGCCTCAGCTACGAACCAAGGCTAGGATTACTCGAATAATTTATTATTCGAACGCATCGCGAGCACTCGAGCAATACAAATGAGCCTCGAACATTTTAACATCGCCGTTCGAATAGGGTAAATTAACTCCATATACTATTGGGTTGTCCGGAAAAGTCCATGTTGATTTTTGGTAGGTGATACAGGTCTGAATATATCGAAGTGGTTGAAAACAAATAACATCCATACATCCCTTGAAAGGTGGAAAGGTTGTGGAACAAAATGGCACCTATGTAATTCAATAAATATATATTAAAATTCAAACGTGTTTTTGAATGTTTCTTAAAAATTGCCACGAACTTTCTGGACAACCTAATATTTTAAACCTCTATTGGTGGAGTTTGTCTCCAGACTACTCGTAAGGCATTTACTTTGATATCGAGGACGATGGCGATGCCAAGCGCCAAGAAGTCATTGTGAATATTGTTATTGGAGACATTGTATAATTGAGACGGGGACGTTATCTTGTGAGAAAACTAGGATTATTTGATAAAGCGTCGATATATTAGCGTGTAGCCTGAAAGGTACAAGGACCCATAGAGGGTTAATGTCAGTATTCAAAGAGCAATCAACATTAGGTGCAGAAACGAATTCCGTGCTTTTGTTTTCAGTCATTTGGAACTTTGATTTCAGTAGGAATATTTAATATATATTGTTATTATAATGTATTAAATTATCAACCTTCTGGGTTCTCGACCTGGTCTGCATTACAATTACATATATTATGTAACCCAAATCCTAATCTGATGACCACTACAACGTGTGTATGTGTATATACAATATACACAAGTGTGCTTCATAATTACAGTAATTGTAGAGAAATACAAATAAGGAAAATCTGATGGTTACTAAAGCTCGTTTAGATACATTGCAATGACCATCAGGTTGAGACTTGAACGTTCGTACTTTAATGTATAAAAATGATTGAATCTGTTTAACTAGGCCTGCTTAAACTAGAATTATAAATAATTGAATAAAGAGCCACAGAATTAATTTCTACACCTAATATGATATTTATAAACTTGACAAGCACTCGAATGCTGCTAATAAACTTCGAATACTATTGATTCCCCCATTAATATTCCTACATGAATATTACTAGTCATCTATCACTGTTTCTGTATTTGATGAGCACTGCGAATGGACCTCGAACGCTATCTCTAGATCAAAATCTTGCCAACCTATATTCCAGCGATAGTTCCATGGCAAAGCCTAATTATATGCCCATTATCGGCGTGCTACAGAGTTTGTAATAGCGATCGAACGACCGCGAAAGCGAGAATCGATTCGCCACTATTCCTCGACGCGCTCACTTCCGGTCACTCGGTTCACCATTCCTCCCATGAAATCGAATGGAACGACGAGGAAGCATCGTTGCAAGTTTGGATTGCGAACGACCTTATTTCATTTATCACTTTCATTTTACTTTAACGAATGTTATTGATTTCGTTCCATCCATCGTTATCTGTTTGATTTTAATATCTCTACGGTATCATAATAATACAAGATGCAAAAGAAGAAAGGGAATTAATATAAAATAAATTTAAATATCGTTCGTACCAAGCCTTTTCTACATCGTAATTCTAAACTTGCTAAGAAGAAGTTGTAAAAAGCAAATTGATTGAATTTTAATTGTAGCCTTACAAAAATAAGTTTATTTTCTGGTATTTCTGTTTCCTTTTGAAGATACTATTTGGGAGCTTCGCAATGCTTGTAACTCAGGGATCTACAAGATCTAGATACAGCGCTGATATCACAATGCTGTTAAATGCAAGAGGAAAGGGAAAAAGGAAGAGCTATGGGAAACTTATGAGAAGAATATAAATAACGGGTGAGAAGGATATGCGTCAAGTTTTACACAATTTTTCGTTAATTTCCATTATCAATTTTCCATGGAATCCATTGGTGAGCCAAGGAGGGCGAAAGTGCATTCGTATAAAAATGAAAATAAATGCAACGCATCTAAACAGCTAATACATCTTAATAAAAGCTGCATCTAAAAACGATGCTAAATTACTCATCTCAGATGATCTACGATTTCCGCAGACTATCATTATTTTTCACAATTTACGACTTTATCGATCCTCCTAACCCAACTCAGTATATGTTCATAAACTGCCTTCTTCATGTATATTCTCTGCAATATTCCGGACAGTTAGCTACATATTTTCAAATAAAAACAGACATTTATTTAATAATGACCATAATCTAGAAAACGTTCGTACTAATACAGAAGATAATTAAAATAGAAGACACGTTTTGTATCAATTCCTGATGTTTCTTATTATGGCCTATGCATCATGTAGTCGTATATAGTAAAATGAAAGTTGAAATCCGGTTACTCTTCTCGGAAAACATTACGTATTCCACGCGGTACTACGGAAAATACTCTCGAAGTAATTGTCCGAGATGCGTTAGTTTCTCGCGGGCCAGCTGTAACGTTGTGTTTTGAATTTCGAAGTAATTCGGATAACTGCGCGCTTTGAGAACTTTTACAGAAACCCTTCCACCCGGTGCGAAACATTTAGGTGAACACGATGTCGAATACAAATACACGGAAGCAACATTACCGGGTAGAGAACAGCCCTGCATTTTGCATGTGCCCTTAGGGGGAAACTGGCAACTGCAATTGACGGCGGATATGCAAGATCCTGGTTTCCCATTTGTCAAGAAGTGTCACTCGCAGTGGCGTGCTTAAATTTCAGGATAATTAATTTTCCAGTCATTTTGCGAATAGAGTAATTTCCCTCGAAAATAAAATAAATGTTTCCGTTAGATACTTCTGGCTTGTAGGTATTTCTATTGTATTCTACCTCTCTGTACTTTCATTCCAGTTTATTCAAAATTCATTTTATTTTCCCTCTGTAAAAGGAACTGCAAAAGCTGGCTGGATATATCCATACGTACTTGTTTTTAACCACATCGATGTATGAGAAAACAGAAAATTGGAAGAATGGAAGCCTTTGTCGAACGTTTTCAATCAGCAGTAGTTTCGTACTATTTTTTATCGAAACCAATTCGCTGCGTTATTTTTTATTTTCGTGAAAGCTATGAAGAAAAGGAGATAAAAGAACCCAAGGAGGTCCTAGAACAATTGTTAGTCCTGATGCAATTTTAAAAACGTATTTGCTTTGTTCTATCGTTAATTCATTCCGTTATTCTCCCCCATTTATGATTATATAAATCACACGCAACATTTCTCTTTCATTTCTTTCTATCTGAAAGAAACGTCAATCTTGTTAACGACTTGAATTATATTTTTTGCTTTCCGCATTAACGTTCGTTCTGATATATCTCAATTTTTCTTGATGACGTTATTACTTTTTATTCCTCGGAGTAATCGCTGTGCAATAACAGAAAGCAAGTAATCAAGTGGCTGGACAGCTAACAGCGTCTAGACACGATTACTGTATGCGATTAATCAGAGGTGTATTCGGTCAAGAAGTGATTTTATATCATCTGTTGACAGTATAGTTACTAAAATAAGCGTTTCGATTAAGATAGTCACTGTTATCTGCAGTAATATTGCTGTTCCAAATAACTTAGAATAATATAATTGCTCTCAACTATTTAAAATAATATTCTAAATCGTAATACTTATACCAGTTACTTATTATTTTGTTTCTCAACTCGCACATCGATTGAGATCACGATTCAACTGCGCCATGCTACCAGAAAAAATCGCGAATCGCCAGGAAAAATGTTGAAGAAATCTTTCACCATTTACCAGTTCCGCAATCCGTTGTCGCAAGTGGTAACGATCCGATGAACGAACGAACAGAGTCACCAGATATTATCGTAACTGCGTTGCGTGTTGGGAGAAAGAGATTACTTTTCTCAATGAGGTTGAATCGGGAAAGTGGAGTGTGGTAACATTGCACTCCTGGTTGGAAGGATGAAACACCGTTGGTTAAATAGCGTCATTATTCGCGAAATCCCATTAATAGATGCAAAGTCAGGAATAATAAGTTTCCGAGTCATTTTTATGGATGAAAAATGTCGGTTTCTTATAGTTTATTGCGTTCTTGCCTGGCTCTGATTAATGGGGCTGGTCTGTAATTATTATCCATGGCGAAAAAACTTGCACCGAGCTAACAATCTTGGCTACGTCAGCTGGAAGACCGTACTCGATTATCTTATCAAGATGTCGAAATCATCTAATGATCGTCTCGCAACGAGCTTGCACGAGCACTTACAGGCTCGAATTTAGAGCCAACTTGCTTGCTTAATAATTCTATTAGGACACGGGCTTCTCTGTTTCGTTTTCGAATACTGTTTGCTTGAGAAAATGTTACTATTATTATTCGTTTCGTATCGACTTACGTAGAATAAATCATCGAACTAAGATTAGTGGCATGTTGTATGCAAAGAAAATAATACAAAAATTTAATTTAATCTTTTCAAGGTTTACTTAAAACACTACTAAATCTAGTAAAAATATTTCTTAAATTAATTGCAAATTAATTGGATCCCTTATTCGTACACTAGATATTTAAAGAAATTCCTTATCTCTTTTTAATAGGCTACCTACATTTCATTTTGTCTCTATCCTCGTGAAGGTACAACGATAATATTCCACGATTCAAGGAAACACATTTCGCGGAACGATGGCTACGTAGGAAGTGTTTTAAAAATTTTCAATGTCATCCGGGCTTTGTACATTAACCAGATACATATCTACCAGCGTGGCTATTAGCAACGTGTTCGCATTCGTCGACTGTTATCGATTTCGCAGCGCGGCAGACATTCACGTCGAGTTTCCGATTATATTCGTAATATATTTATGGAGCAGAAAACGAACAGTAACAATTTTGCCCCTTTCATCGTTCGTTCAGCTTCATCGAGGCGGGCGATGTCGAAGTTAATTACGTGAATCAGCAGCTGGCATTTTGTTACAGTACGAGAGATTTCCCTTTCCGTTTACAAGTCCGGAAGGTAAATGTGGCCATTAACTACACTTCATTAGCTGTTTTTTTTTATTTTACAACGGAGTCACTCCTGCTGGGTTATTTGGATCGTCAATCTTTCGAATGTACTGCCTGATAAATAATTCGAAACTGACTTTAATTCATTTTTAATATGGTTTCCATTGGAGATGGCTTATTTACTGCGACAATATCTTACTTTCAACAAGTTTTACTGTCACTTTAATAACTCGTTAAAAATCCACGGACAGTGCATTTTCAACTTTTCCTTCAACTCATCGTCAAAAAAGTCTCGAATGTTCTCAAATATACGATCGTCTTCCCAGTAGGGATCCACGCTAACCGAGAAAACCGTTTGCAATTTTCAGATAGTTTTCCCTCGCACGTGAGAATTATTTATTACGTGTGGTTTTGTTTTAAACACTGCGCCTCTTACGTGTATCGCGTTATTACGAACATCGTCGAAGAAGGTGTCGTGTTTTTTGAACATTTTCCCATGTGTGAGTGCCGCGTCCTTACGTAAAGCATTGTATTCATTACGAGAGAGTTCTTGTACCTACTCGTTCCTTTCGTGACTGACTTTTGGTGCCATAATCCTTTCATACTAAATTATTAGGCTGCATGTTTTTTTTGTTTCACCTTTTATCTGGATGGAACACTCGTCCTCCGACGATGTCGGACCTCGTGCATGTTGCCAGAAGAAATCCATAATGGATGCGGCGAACAACATCGCACGCTGGAATTTTTTACGTGTTGCTATCCTCGCCCTAGAGGACTGACAGCTTGCGTCAGGTTATTACCTGAATTAGGAAAATTATTCCTGAAATGTTCTAGTCTTTTGCTCGAGGTACGTTGTTATAGGCTGTTCTAGTGGTAGTATTTATTTGAAAAATAAAAGGAATTTAAAGGAAACAACTATAAGACACAAACGTACAGTGGGTGCAGAAACTATTCGTACATTCGATAAATTTCCAAAATAACTATGTAAAATTGTAAATTATTAATTTATTTGTGATAAACAATGACATTCTACATATTCTCGGAAATCTCTAGAATAAATATATTACAAAAAAAAAAATAGCTGTTTATGTAAGTTGCGAAATTAACAAGAAAAAAACTGTTCAATTTTTAAAATTTGA